TGGATAGATCTGCAGCCGGCTCGAGGCCCCCATGTCCTCAGGGCCTGCTGGGGCTTGATGACAGGTCTACACTCCTCCAGCACTGATGACACTCTCATGCTGGCCTTGGAGGGTCCCAGGCACTAGTGTGGCTTCAACCATGACCCATCTCTGACACCCCCCAGTGGTGCTGCCAGCTTCCTGCTCTCCTGAGCCCCCAGCGACGGTCACTGCTCTCCAGGCATTCACAGCCTACGTCTGCCTGCAGCCGAGCTGACCTCCTTGTTAAGGAAAGCCTTGGTCCTGCTCAGAAGCACCTGTGCAGAGACAGGGTGGCTCGCCGGCCGGTGCAAACAGGGATTGTGTTTCTCAATTTTTACACCAAAATATCAACCCTACTAGTTAAACACGGGTCTTCCAAAGCATATTCATTTCCACTTAATCAACAACTTAAAATGCCAGTGCCTGGGCTATCAGATTGTATAACCTCAGATTGTGGTGCTATTTCTAATAATAGGCCCGGAGATGTGATATGCAGAGGGGAGACCGAGGGATGTTGTCTGTACACCATCCTCAGTCCTAAAAGCGCGTCCCCAAACCTGCAAGCTTGTCTGTCTCCTCTCTCTAGATGTGCACGCGAACGCCCACGCGCACCCAAGGGCCCACTCGTGCCCCCTCCCCCAGCCCAGGACACGGGTCACGTCAAGAATCAGCTGGACGAACAGCTGCTGCTCCCGTGTTCTCGGTAACACTCAGTGGACACAAAGGTCCTTTCTGTGTTTATATGACAAGCCTTGAATCAGCACCAAGGAAAAAACTTGTTTTTCAAGGTGCACGTCTGCTTGCAAAACGCTAAGGACCACGTGGACCTTCCCCCGCCTTGGCGGCGAGTGGCAGCGTGCCCTCTGCCAAGGTTAATCCCAAGGGTGACACACTGACGCCGCCCTTTGTTTTCGCTGTTGGTCATACACTTGATCTGGAGGCAGAGGATGTAATGGGAAGCCTCCAAGCTTTGCAGCTTTTCCAGGTCCAGATCTGAATCCTGGCCAGCCACTCGCTCAGCTTTTGGGAAAGCTGTCTAATTAAGGTCCGTCTTCCTCGCCTGTCAATAAAACCCGGGCAGACCCCTCTCCAGACTGTGGCAGCACCCAGTCCCGGCACCGCCACACGCCAGGGGCTCCAGGAGGTCCCTGCCAGGCCCCCCGCCCCACCCCAGATCTCTCTCTGACTACGAATAAAACATATGCGTATTTTATTTTAAACCTTTCAAATCCCTTTTTTGAGGAAGCAGACATACGCTTTAAATGGCAATGCGCTCCTGTCCCAAGCACACCGAATTTACGATAGCAAAACTGTCCTTTGTGTGAGTCAGTGCTCCTGGGCTCACACATCGATACAAACCACCGGGCAGAGCCGGGGCCCTCTCTGCATCCTCCAGGCCTCCGCCATCTGACTCTCATCAGCCATGAGGCCTTCTTGCCTGTCCTGGCTTTCCCCACCTGCAGCTTCTTCATTCAGCATCTGCACTCACCCACCGTGCTGCCCGGAGTTACTTTCTCTGCTTCCTGCCTGACTGATACGGGCCCCCCACCCAGGGTGTCATTCTGCACCCAGATAATTCCCAGCGTGGGGCTGAGCCATCAGGCACATGGCCTGATCCTGAGAAAGGTCCCTGGAAACGTGTTCCCACGTCTGAAAGCATCTCTGCGGTGGCTGAATGCTGAGGGCACCCAATTAGCAAACTGCTTTTGTGCGAGACCTTCCACGGAACTTGAATCACGACAAAACATTTTCATCCCTGTGAACCACCCGAGTGTCTTTACCGCAAGAATAAAGAATTTCAAGGCAAACTATTAGACAGAGAATGGATAAACAACAAGGAACTACATTCAATATCCTGTGATAAACCATAAGGGAAAAGAATATAAAAAATGTTTGTATATGTGTAACCAAATCACTTTGCTGTACAGCAAAAACTAACACAACACTGTAAATCAACTATACTTCAATAAAATAAATTAAAAAAAAAGAATTTCAAGATTCTAATGCCATCTACTAACCAACGACACTGTGTGTCTGACCGAGTGAGGCAAACTATGGCATTTTTAATCGGATTTCCCAGGTTTTAATCAGATTTTCTCTGCAAAGCCCAAGGTCCTTAGCAGGTACCAGACACCCCAGGGCAGGCCACGGTGCACAGGAGTTGGGCTTGAATCTCAGCTCCTGCCAGGCCAGGATACTTCAGTCCCTGTCCTGAGAGCACAGTGGGGCTCCCAGGGCCTGGTGAGGCTGCTGTGAGGGGCAGGGCTGTGCCTGGCGTGGCAGGCGGCGGGGGGACCCTCCACACGATCACCCCCTCCCCCCACCGACACCCAATGCCCATTTAATGATACCAAGATTAAATGGCCCTGACTTAGTTTCCCATCTTTGGGTAGCAACTGCAGTTTTGCGACTTGAAATATTGCAACTGAAGTGCAGGAGTTCAGCAGCAGATCACTCTGCAGAATTAAATGCAATGGGAGGGGACTTTCTTTGACTCCAAGGGGGAAAAGGGTGCTTTGCTTTGAAAGGAGGCCCTTCAAATAAATGGTTTCTTACTTAGCCGAATTCCTCTTAACTTTCATTTTCTAAATCAAGAACTTCTGCCAAAGAACTCTGTGACAGGCTGCTTTTGTTATCAACTATATATTTAATTCAATTCTGCCCATAATTAAGGCTAGAATATATTATAATTTGGAAGACAGATATGTATGCATATACTATGCAATTCATTTTGGACTTGAGTTTGTAGAAATTTTACCTTTGTGAGAGGAACTTTCTCTCACTTGTGAGACAAATGATAAAATGATTATCATTGATAACACCACCAAGAAAACCAAAGGCAGGCCCCCTGACAGGTTCAAGGTCATCTTTCCCGAGTCCAGTGGTCCAGCTCCAACAACAGAGCGGAGGGGACAGCCACAGGCCACCAGAAACACTACCAGGCGGCCACTCAGTCAAATGTGGCAAAACCTGGAGGGGCAACAATGTATTTTGAAAAATTCTTCTTACAGCTCTTTTAAGGCCTTAATATGAAAAAGACTGGGGGGTGGAGGGGATGCAGATGAACGAATGAGCCTCTGCTGGCGCTGGAGAATGCAGCCTCACCTCGCAAACTGTGATGAAGCCACTGCATTAACCCCCGAGCTTCCCTGCCAGTTGGTTTCCAAAGCAGAGGGCAGGGGCTGGCAGTGTCCTACACACGGGGGGCTTTGCAAGTAGCCACTGAATGGACAGGAATATTCTAAACAGACATTGATGCCAGGCCGTTTGAAAAATCAATTTGCTATTTAGAATCTCTAACTTAGGGAGGTCCCTGGCGGTCCACTGCTGGGGCCCGGGTTTGATCCCTGGTCAGGGAACTGACATCTCGCAAGCCACACGGCTCGGCTCAATCAATCAACCAATCAATCAATCAAATCTCTAACTTAAAAACCAGTCCAGGCTAAGAGAACTATTCCATTAGGTGGTCTCCAACGAGGACTCTTTATGTCAGAGTCTGGTGCCCGGCTGTTGGCTGCTGTCAGGGTGATCTCCAAAGCCCAGGGGACACTGTCTCAGACAGGTTAAGTGACAAAGGTCTACAAAACAACAACACCTGTCCCTTTTCTCCACCTTCCAGTCCAAATACTTCTCCCCATAGAAGTATTTCTTCTTCACATCCCCAAGTGATGCCTAAAATACGGTCGAGGTGTGGCTGCCCCTCTGCTCGGGCCACTTCCCAACATCACCGCCGGCGTGTTGTGTGGCCTTTCTCTCAGGGACATGTCCCCTCCATCCCCATCACTCCGGGGCCCCCGCCCTCCTGTCATCAGGACCCAAGTATGACTCTCCTAACTAACCCCCTGGGCTTGAGTTTCTAGTAACCTTCAACAGATTCTTGGAGCCACGTGGGAGAGGTTTCCTCCTCAAGTTCAAGCCTGGCCACGCCCCTCGCCCCAAGTACACACGTCCACGCGGAGTGGCAAACCCCACAGGGAACAACAGTGAGCACCTCGCCTCTACAGGGAACGTGACCTTGGGGACCTGGCAGAAACTGCAGTGGTTTTAGGAGAAACTGGAAATCCAGACTTTAACTGAAATCTCCCAAGTTTTAAGACACTGGTTCAACTTTGAAAATTGGGCTACCTGAACCAAGCCAGACTGTGAGTACAAAAATCATCCCTGGGGAAAGCAGCTGGCCGCCTCTCCAACACAATACATTCAAACCTTCAAACAAGCAGAGCCGCCGGTGGGCCTGGCACGGCTGCTCCCCAGACCCCGCGAGGCCGAGGCCCACGGGAGAAGGCGGAGACCGTGGCGAGGGACTCGCTCGTGCGCTGCGTGGGCTTCAAGGTCACAGGGAAGCCCACCCCTTGAACTGCGAGTGAAAGAGCCCTCACGCTGCCCACGTGGCTTCTGGCTGCGGCTCAAGGTGGTGAACGAAAGTAGCAAACAGCATTAACAGGTGTGTAAACACATTACTGTCCACCTTCCCAGGAGGGCAGTTTCTATCCTGGTTATTTCATCCAGTGTGTATTCTGTTCTCTGTATCACACATGGGCTTCAGGCCTCATGAAACCTATGAAAAAGTGTAAAAACCACAGGGGAAGCATTTTAAACGAGACTGCTTAGCCTAAATAAATAATAACCTGTTCTGCTTTCACATTTTAATTCAGAGGACGGGCATCCTAGCTCAACAGCTAGAACCTCAAGTCCACAGCCAGCACCTCTTGGCTCCTGGCCAGAAGGCTGGGCCGGGGAGATCCACGTGGGCACGTGCTCTGTGCACAGGCTCGTCCCAGGATCCGACAGGTTGAGTGTCCAGGATGGGCCATCTGGCATCTGTATGCTATGCCATGCCCTGGCCTGACCTTGAACCAAAGTCACAGGCACAGGTGCCTTCAAACTGAGAGCAACAGCAGAGGGGCAGGTGCCCCCGTGCGGCCCGCTCTGCCTGGAAGGAACCCTCCCACGAGAACCGATGAGGAGCCCCGCGTTACCTCTTTCTGCTGTCGCTCCAGCTCCTTCATCCTGATCTCTCGGGCCTCTGCTCGTGCCGCACGCTTTGCCGCCAGCCTGGCCTCCGCCTGCAACAGACCGGAGATGGCATTAGGAGACAGACCAGCGGCTCCTGTCCAGGACACGGTTAACCATGATGCTCTTGTTCAGAGGTTAATAAATAGTAACACAGACTTGTAAGCGTTAAAAGGGTCCAGGAATCACAGTCACCATAGTTACAGTAGTCACGATTGACCCCTTACTAAATGCCAGTGGGTGCTATTCTGAGGGCTTCGTGTATATTATGCCGTGGACTCCTCGTAACAGCCCTATTGGGGAGATGGTGTTACCATACCCAGCTAATAGATAAGGGAACTAGGGCACAGAGAGGGTAGGGCGCCCACGGTCACACAGCCCATAAGTGGCAGGGCTGGGCGGTCTGCCTTCCTCTGGAGTGATGACAGATTAGTGCACGGAGCAAAGCACTAGAGCTGGACAAGACCCCAGGTCACTGGTTGAACCCCTCCCTTTACAGACCAGGAAGCAGAGGCCCGGAGACGCCACCAGACCTGTCCAAGGTCACAGGGCTGAGACTCTGCCCCTGCTTTCCAGAACTCCTGTCCAGTCACCCCTCACTACTCCCCGCTGCCCCCCAGCTGCCCCTTCAGCACCTGAGCCCTGGGAAGCCCATCTTTTCTCAAGCAACACATCTTCCACCAGAGCAGAGTGGTTCCAGCTGTTACATTGAAACAAAATCTGGCTCCATTTAACTACCTGTCAACTTGCAGCTGATTTTCCCTATTCTACTCAAGAGCATGTAAGACGCTTGACCAGGACCAACCGACGTCGTCGGACCTGGCACCTGAGCCCTGTTTCTCATTCTACAAATCTCGAGCTTATTCATTATCGCAGGTGATACAACGGCCCAGCGAGGTGAACGGTGCAAGGGGACCAGGATCCAGGTTTTCTGGTGTCAAACAAATCCATCCTTTCCACTTAATTTTTTATGGGAATACACTTGTGATTCTTCCAACAGTTCTGACAGCTTTCGCTGTTCCCTAGGTCATCTTAAAACGGGGCCTTTGGAGACGGCCACGTGCTTCTGATGTGGTCATTGGGGCCAGCAAGCAGTGAGGCGGTCCAAATGTCCTGTTGTCCAGTTTCTTCCCAAAGGCCAGGCACCCTGTACCGCAGGCTCCCACCAGGACCGTGGCTGCTCACGTCAAGGACGTCCCTCGCCCTCACCCCACAATTACATTACACAGAACTACAAATTCGTCTTCTAAGTTCTAATCTAAGTTGAAAATTGACCACAGCTGATCTGTCAAAGATTAGCTAGCTAATGTCCTCATAAGGAATTTATTCTATAACCCTCTTCGTTCATGCGGTTTCTTTTTTTTCTTTTTCGCGGTACGCGGGCCTCTCACCACCGCGGCCTCTCCCGCCGCGGAGCACAGGCTCCGGATGCGCAGGCCCAGCGGCCATGGCTCACGGGCCCAGCCGCTCCGCGGCATGCGGGATCCTCCTGGACCGGGGCACGAACCCGTGTCCCCCGCATCGGCAGGCGGACTCCCAACCACTGCGCCACCAGGGAAGCCCCATGTGGTTTCCTTATCAACCCAAGCCCAGGTCCTTCAAATCAAGGATGTCAAAAATCACAACTGCATCAGAACTTTGATACCTCATTGCCATTTTCAATTTTCTAAACCATGTTACGTTGTGTGATGAGCCACTCGCTCAGGGTCTATAAAAAGATCCAGCCAAAATGGAGGGGAGAGGAGGGGAGGGGAGGGGAAGGTTTGATAGACTGACATCTGGGTACACTGACTACCTACAGCCTCATCAACGGGCCAGCAAGAGGTCTGCGTCCACGCTGAGCGCAGCTGCCTCTCCAGCCCTTCCTGGGCTCCCTGGCTGTTGGCCCAGGTTCTAAGCCGGTGTGGACCAGGCAGCCACAGCCCATCAGCTTGGGGAGGGGGCGGTGAGGAACAGTGAGGGGATTTAGGAAAAGAGAAGGGAGGGCATGGAGGAAGAAGAGGCGGGTGGAGGAGTGAGAACGTGAGCAAGAGGCTGGAAGCAGGAGGGGCTGCCAGAGGGGGACAGGGGAGAGAGGCGTGTGGCAGGCAGGATTCTAGGATGGTCTCCGAGATTCCCGTCACTGCTGTACGTGTTCTTCATTCTCCTCTCCCCTTGAGTGTGGCCAGAACGGTGAGTATGACAGATGTCACTCCTGTGACTGGGTTACATTATACTGCAAAGAGAAATGCACTAGTAATGAAGGTCCCTCGTCAGCTGACTTTGAGTTCATCAAAACAGAGCTCCAGGGTGGGCCTGACCTCATCAGGTGAGCCCTGGAAAAGTGGGCCTGGAGGTCAGACAGACTCCTGCCGGCCTCGCAAAAGCAAGCTGCCATGTGCGAGAGGGCCTGTGAGGGGTCGCATGACAAAGAATGAGAGCGGCCCAGCTGACAGCCAGCAGCAAAATGGGACCTCAGTCCCGCAACAGCAGGACGTGAATGCCACCAACAACCATGTAAGCTGGGAACAGGACTCTGAGCTCCAGAACGGATGCAGCCTGACCGAGACCTTGACTGCAGCCTCGGGAGACCCTGGGCAGAGGGACCCAGTAGGCTGTGCCCAAACTCCTGACCCACGGGAACTGTGAGATAATCAGCGTGTGTTGCTCTAAGCTGCCACATTTGTGGGTATCTGTCCTGCATCAGCAGACGACTGACATGAGGTGGTGAGGTCTGGGATGATTCCTGCTCACACAGCGTGGGTGCCTCTGTGACTAAGGAGCCCGAGCCCCTGCACGCCCACCTCCTCCCCAGCCTGTCCGGCCAGCCCTCTCCTCTGCTCAAACTCCTCTTGGGACCGGAGCAAAGATCCTCGAAGAGACCACCTCTCTGAGCAGGTGGTCCCTGCCACCTGAGACGGCCTCCCCACCAGACTGGCAGGCCTCCAAAATCATGTCCCATCAGACCCCAGCTACCCTGGTGGGCCTCTACCCACCAGCAAAGGGCTCCCGTCATGGCCCACCTCCTCTCTGGTCCTCACGTCCACCCAGCATGTCTGTCCTGTCCGTGAGAACAACCCCCAACCTGAGGGACCTGGGCTTGGGTTGACAAAGGGACCACATGAATGAATGAAGTTACAGGACAAGCTCCCTGTGAGGACACGAGCTAGCCAACCCTGAAGACAGATCGATATGGTCAAGCTTCACCTTCGATTAGAATGTGGAAAGGAGATAAGTAATTCAGTACAGTTTCAAATGCTTGCAGTCACTGCCATGTGAAGCACCTCCATCTCACAGGATTCTTATATGACTCATATGTGGAGAACAAGGCTCTCATAACACAGGAAGTGGTAACAACCATGCTTGCTCTGGGACTCTGGCTAAAAGCTAACAGATACACAAGCCAACGTCTGAAGGGGCACAAAACCTATGCACAGCCAACTTCATTAGCACAAAACCAGTATCAGCAGAATAACCCCAACACAACCTGAGATGCCTAAAAGAAAAACCACACAGAGCTCTGACAACACAATTCACTCTAAAACGCCGACACTGCCAAGAACACAAAACAGCCAGACACAGAGCATCACCGATGATGCTCATTTAAGACAGCATCAGGGGAAATGTTTGATAAGATCAGTCAGTCGTTCAATGAACAGAAAGTACAAAATAGCGATGGTCCACCCTGGTGACCTGCAGGCACGAGTTCATTCCCCCCAAAATTTCCAGGGAGGCCCAGCCCTGCCCTCCAGTTGCCAGCCATCAACCGAGCAGTTCCAGGGGTCGATGTGCCCCCGGCCAGGGCTTCGGTGATGCAGGACAAATCTGTTGTGGACTGACGCTTTTGTAAAATATAAACTCACACGCTTGAGGTCACAGCCAGGTCACACTGTTTGAGTCTCCAAATGCACACTTTCACTTTCTGTCCCTCGCCTGGAGGGGACTGCAGCTTCCTGGCCACCAGCACTCCAGCCCAGGCCTCGCAGCACTGCCGAGACTGCAGGGGAAGGACTTTCAACGTGCAGTCTGGGGCCCCAGTCTCAGGGGGTGCACACAAAGCTCTCGGGGACCATGTACAAGTGACAAGTGCTACAGTGGGTGAGAAACCGTGCTGGGGCTGCTCTGGAGGAGAACGTAACCCGTCCGGGTGTCGGGAAGGCGTCCTGGAGGACGGGGGCCCGAAGCCAACGCCGAGGGGCAAAGAGGAGAAGGCCAGGCGAGGGGGCGGGCGGCAAGGGGCCAGGACGGGGCGGCGGAGTCCCGAGGGCCCGGCTGCCTGCGCTAGCCTCAGCCCTGCTACCTGGAACCTCATCTTGAAGGAACGCGGAACCACTGACGGGTCTGAAGAAGGCAGAGCACAGCGGGGTCTGACTTTCACTTTAGAAACGTGGCTCTGGCTGAATGTGGGGACCAGGGGCGGGGTGGGGAGGGCGGCATGAGACCCGGGAAGTACGGAGAGGCTGCTTCTGAGCGGGGGCAGGGGGGGGGGCGAAGCCGGGCGGAGAGGCGAGAGGGCCCTGGAGGGAACGTCAGGTGCCCAGGGTCCTGAGGAGGCCCACGCGGCCCCAGGAGCCAGCCCGCGCCACGTTGGATGCCACTCACCCAAACCCGAACCCGGGCACACGGTCTGCTGACGCCTCCGGCCTCGGAGGTGGGGCATTTCTCCACCCTGACCCCCTCCCCGCCACGCTCCCAACCTCAAGGGAGACGACAGTGGCCGAAGGGAAAGGATGGGGCCAAGGAGACGGCATTTAGGGCACAAACGATAAACTGCACAGGCCTGTAAAGCAAGGTTTGGGAAACGAGACTTCCCAGGCTCCCCCTCCCCACGCCGCGATGGCTGTCAGCCGTCGTCCTTCAGCTCCCACTGGAGGTCAAGGTCAGCGGGTCTTCCACTGGCTACTAGCCCCCGGCCTGCTCGCTGTGACCGCACGACGCTGGCAGGGCCGCGCTCCCACCCAGAGCTTGGTGGCCGGGCCGGTCCAGCTGCTCGTCCCTCGGCCCACCGTCCTCGAAAGGGGCTCTGGAACAGGCGTAGCTCCGGACACCAAATCCTCCTTTCCTGGCCCAACAA